GGCTTCTCTCCAGACACAGCTGGGTGAGCTCCTGGGGTCAATGAGCAAATAACTAGCAAATGGTTCAGCTGGGCTGAATGGCCTTCTGAGAAAAAAAATTCTCAGCACTGATTGCTGTTGTTTATTATAAAATTTAAAGAGATCAGTAAAAGTTCATAGACTTTAAATGTTTCTAATTGGTAGTAATTAAGCATATTCCCTGCATGTTTATTATAAAATATCATTCCCAGATTAAGTAAAAATCATACAAGAATGCAGGTACAAGCAAATTACAGTAAGAATTCTCAGTTTTAGTCAATTTGTATACTTGTATTACAGAGAATCCCTTACAGATAAGTGCTTTATAATTACATGATAAATTACTGTTCGGAGTTACAATTAAGTTCAGAGTTGCACATAAAATATGGGACATTAAACATTAGGAACGGCTCAGTTCCTGGGGGGGGGTGCTGTCTGTGTGGAGTCTGCATGTTCTCTCTGGGTTCCTGTGGGTTTCCTCCAGGAGCTCCGGTTTCCTCCCACAGTCCACAGACTGGCTGGGGGGTTAATGGGCTTCTGGGAAAACTGGCCCTTGTGCGAGTGTGTGTGTGTCCTGTGTTGGACTGGTGTCCAGTGAGGGACTGGGGTCCTGTTCAGGCTGTACCCTGCCTTGTACCCAGTGCTTGCTGGGATAGACTTCAGCTCCTTTGCGATCCTGTGCTGGATAAAGCAGTGATAGACACTACACAACTACACAATCAATGAAAGATTGGTAGCAATTGTAGTAAGAGATCCGTGTACACTGTCAAGGAAACAGAGAGCAAGCACTGACACCCAGCTACTGGTGACAGATTTTCAACTGGCTGCACTGTCAGACTGCAGTTCCTGTATCACCCTGGGACTTTCCAACTGTCTGTCTGTTCAACCCCAGCACTGGAGACTGTGTGCTACACACACACAGTAATCTAACACATGACTTATTGATAATGTGCATGGGATTTCATAAACACGGCCTTGTCTGTGATTTAAATCTCAGGTATTCGAAGCTCCTTTGCCAGGCGGAAGGTTTTGGCGAGTGTCGATGGTGTCGCTGGTGTTTCTACCGGTCCAATCCCTCTCTCACACTGCAGCAGGCTCTGGAAAGTCCCTGCAGGGAGACTTCGAGCAGCGAATCAGCACACAGTGCTGGTGCCGAGTCATCAGGTGTGAGGGAGAGGGCACAGAGTCTGACACTGCAGTGCTGTTCAGCAGCTCTCTGTCCATAGTCTTCAG